TGAAGGAAAAAAGATCAACTTTTGAAATCACAGCCTCGGGTTACAAATGATCCTGGATCGAAACCTGTCAAATCTAAGAAAGGAATGAACCTGATAGCTGCCATAACCTAAAGCACACCTTTGCAAGCCTTAGTCGGTCGTGAGACTTCCACTGAGTCTGACGAACCGGTCCCTCAGAAGATTCAGCCCATACTTAGTAAACTTGTTGATGTCTTCCCTGACGATCCTCCCGAACAATTGCCTCCTATTAGAGACATCCAGTATGTTTTAGATCTAGTCCCTGGAGCTCCATATCCAAACTCCACACTGTCGAACTCATCTACCTTGATTCAGTGACCTGTACTAATGGTTTAAGTCCCACCAAAACTGTTTATGGGTTCAAACCTAGGCCGTCGATAGATCTCATACCCATGTGTCCTAGGTATAAGATGTCTGAGTCTGCATCTAGATGTGCATTGCATTTGCATGATCTACATAAGGAAATTGCATGTAAAATTAAGCAGAACAACATTAATTATAAGCTTCTTGTTGATTTTAAACAAAGATTTAAAACTTTTGAGGTTGGTGACTTAGTGATTGTGTGGATTCGTCCGGAACGGTTCCCACAAGGATCTGTTAATAAGTTACAAGCCAAAAGTGCGGGGCAATTAAAAATAATCAAGAGAATCAACGACAATGCTTACGGGGTGGATCTGCCTACATAATTCAATATTAATCCCTCCTTTATGATGTAGATAAAGGGGGGGTCAACTAATGTCCAAAATAAATCAATTTTGGCTTCCCCCGAGTTTACAAGTTCAATCAAAATTGAGCTGAAATTTTTTGTGCATTTATGAGCTGGTCTTTAGTTCACTTATTGAACTAAGGGTTAGCTCATTATTAGCTAACATTTTAGTTCATAGTTATCTTTTATTAAATGTACTTTTTATTGTTTTTGTCTTTAATTATGTTTGTCCCTTGGAACTCCAAACCGGCCTTTGGAATTCCAAGAAGTGTTGTTTCCCATGTGTGGCTCCTTGGCTTCCACCATGGGCTATTGTTTTTTGTGCCTTTACCCCTTGGATTTCCGGCCGGCTGCTGGTTTTCCAAGCCTAGGTGTTTTCTTGTGGCTATGGCGCCTTGGTTCCATGCGGCCTCCTTAGCTCCCGTGGCTGCTCCTTTGGTTCCTGGGCTTGGGCTATTTTTCTGTGAAAAGCATTTGGGTTTTAATGTTTGTGATGTTTAGAATTCCTATGTGAATTCATTGTTAGTGTCCTTTTGTATTCTCCTTTCATACCTATAAATATGAGGGACTTGTAATGTTTGAAATAGTGAATGATATGTGATTTTTGGAAATGTAAACCTGCGGGTTTCATTGGAAAAGCTTGCGAGCTTTGTCCGTCTTCTTTCTCATCCCCTCCGGAAATCTTGCGAGCTCTTTTCAACCTTTCGTCTCGGCTTCTCATCTCTTTCGTCTCTCCGCAAGTGCCACTCAACCTGTATCCCTCTTCTCTTGTGAAGCAACTTTAGGGTGTCTTTTAATTACGATTCGAGTTTGTTAGATCATCGTTTGTAGTATTTTAATTTCTTCTTCTTTAGTTTAATTTGAAATGTAAGAATTTGTTCTTCCTCATCTTATTCGCATCATTCGTGATTTAGTGGGTCGTCGGTTTAAGGATCAATCATTCGTGTGGGCGAGGTATAGGCTCCTTATATTTCTTGCCCCCACCACTTTAACATAGAAGATCTGGTTGCCTATGAGGATCTTGAGTTTAACCCACCAAATCCACTTCAATTTAAGTCTTGTGTGGCCACGTCATGTAGAACCCAAGCTTACCTCCACTCCCAAATATTTCTGAAGTACCTATAGCGGAGAAGGTTAGCATGATTTTAAGTGATGATATTATTTCTACAAAAGAGGGTGATCGAATAAGGTATTTGATTAGGTGGAGAAGGAAGTCCGAGTCAGAGGACATAAAGTCAGAGCGCGAGGAGCTTCAGCAGATCGACCCAAACGCACTAGAGTTCTACGACAGCACCCGGGATGCGTACTCGACATAGTCGAGTCTTTTTTCTACCCCGGGAGAGTGATGAGGACATCAGGACATTGAAGATTTATTAGAGGCGTGGCCGTCGATCTACGGCCACAATTTCACCGCTATACTTTTGATTTCGTATTTAGTATTAATGTCTTAATTTTTTTATTTATGAAGTTTTATTCTATTTTCCTATTTTTGCCCTCACTTAAGGGCTTAGATATGTGTAAGCCCTAGGGGCATTGTAGTACTTTGATTTTCTCATTGTATAGGCTATTTAAAACCTCCCTCTTCTTCTTTGAGTGAGGGTTAATGAATGAATTATGAAAAATTTCTTGCACATGTGTTCTTCGAATTGTGAGAGTTCTAGGAGAGAGCTTTGGAGAAATCCCTAGGGAGAGAAAATGGATCACCCACCAACCTTGGAGACGGCCGGGTTCATGATTTGTTTTATCGTTCTTTTTTCTTTCCATCTCCTTTCCTCCTAGCCGTTGGATTCCCCAACCAACCCCCCACCTTAAGCCGTCGGCCACCATAAACCCACCCTCACCATCAGTTAAGCCCCGCGCCACCCCCACCCGCAGCTCCCCCTCTTTCCCCTCCACCATCCACGACCCAACCACAAACCGCCGGCCCCACTTTAGTCTTTCCCCCCTTTTCCCTTATTTCCTAATATAGATTGCCTATAATTAGGATTAAATTTGAATTCAAATCTAAGTGATTTGAAATTCAAAATCTTTCCTAAAATAAGAAATCTATTTTAGGAAAGTATTTAAATCTCATCTCAAATCAATCTTTAATTGAATGAGATTTAATTTCACTTACCTAATTGAAGATTACCTATTAAGCAAGCCATAGACACTTGCTTTAAATCCCTATCCCTTCCATCAAGTCGCCGGCCCCCATACCCCTCCTCTTCAAAATTGTTTCCTAAAGCTCCACTTTCCTTATTTAACTCCATCTATCTTTGGAAGAAGTTTGAATTTGAAATAATTAAAATTGAAATCTCAAATCCTTCCTATTTCATTAATCCTATTTTTGGAAAGACAATTAAATAAATCAATTAATTCAAATCTGAATTAATTGAGTAATTAATGCCTTAACCCCAAATACATTGAATATAGACACACACACCCCTCCCCCTCTCTCTTGGCCGAACCCTCCTCTTGCCCACCTCATTATTTCTTTCCCATAAAATCAGCCCCTCACTATGGAAATACTTCCGAACTCAGCTCTAGCCTACCCGCCCCCTCCCTCATCCCATAACCTACTTAAATTAAGTTCCAAAACAACACATTTCTTTTTGAGAATTAATCTCAGCTTTTTCCCTCCACAATCTTCTTCCAAACTCTAAGCCTAATTCACCCAAAACCTGAACCCAGTCTTCCCCAAGCCTCTTCCCCCTTGGCCGGCCACCTTCCCTTGCCTTCTCCCACTTAGATTCTTGGGAGAAAGCTTTCCCAATCTTCATGTGCTGCTATTTACGCATCTTTTGCTTGTTGTCCAGAAATTTCTGGATGCTATTAGTTGCTGTCCACCCTTCCAAAACCCAAGAGAGCTGCTGTCCAAGACCACCTATTTGTTGTTCAGAGAATCCAGCAGCAGTTCGCTGCTGTCCAACCCCTCTGGGAGCTACCGTTGCTGCCCGGAACTATCCAGAATCGCTGTCCCAGATTGGCTACTTGCTGTCCAGAATTTCCCAAGTATCAAAGTTGCTGTCCAGCAATCATAGACATCTCCTATTGTTGTTTCTCTGGCTTTAAAGTTCAGATTGCTATCCAACGACATCGAGAAAAATCGAGGTTGCTTTCTACTTCCGCTCAAGCACATAAACACCACACCGGAGCTTTGAATGTCTTGTTTATTTGGGTGATCTTTCCTCCTACTATTTTATCTTTTAGTCGCTCTCAATTGTAGTTCTAATTGACTCATGGAAAGTTGTGTTAATTTTTCCTGCTAAAGCCTAGTATTTAGTAGGAGTTGTGTGAGAGATCTTTCATAGCACTACTCTTATTATTAGATTAGGGATTTCTTGTTGAAACTCATTTTGTTTGCAACGTCAAGAGTAAATGATTGTTATGTGATTTTTACTTCTTGCAAGTAACTTGGCCTAAGCTTATGTTTACCGTTCTTTATGTTTTATTTCATTATTTAACTCACCATAAAGCTTAGTTAACTTGCTCTTAATCATCAAGCGTGCAAAATCCTTATCCAAATCATATTTTCATATATGTCTTGCATCACATCGGCTACATGAATCCTTTTTCTCCATTGTGTCATGTTAAGAGTCAAATTTTCATCTAAATATAATAAAGAAAAGTCATTACTAATATTTTCTAACCAAGTCTTTTTAGTTCTACCTCTACTTTTATTAATATAAGTCAAACCTAATACATTTACTTTCCTAAGCAGGTCATTGGAAGGCCACTGTTTTATGTGACCAAACCATCTAAGGCGACTCTCTAATCTTATGTTCCACTGGTGCTACTCCAACCCTTTCACGTATATGCTCATTAATCATAATTTAAGAAAAAAAGATTCAAAATAATCCCCCAACTATCATTGAGTTAAATTAATCCCAGAATATCAAAATTTTCGTAATCTAGTCCCCTCGACCATGCAAAATTAATCTCAAATGGTCTGTCAAACACAATTGAAATCAATTTTGAAAGTTCAAGAAATTAAATCAAGATATATTTTATATCTGAATTTTAATCAATTTCTATCAAAGGAAACTAAATTAGAAAAATGTCAAAATTTGTCACATACAAATAATCAATGGGTTATTCGGACTTCTTCTCGTATTTTTTTATAATAGAAAAGAGAAAAATAGAAAAAAAGAAATGAATTCGCATGCTGTATCGTGGGTAATAAGTGATTCAAAAAGCTGACTCAAAATAGAACTAGACAATCCTAATGCGGTAAATCTCCTATTAAAAAAAGTTGAAATAATTGCAAGCTAGGATGAAAAGAAATAATGCTCACCTGTGACACTGAATGTTTTTGACAATGATGATGTGATGATGGTCCTTTCTTGCATCCCATGAAGAGAAGAAATGGACACATGATTATGTATGCCAAATGTTATATACTCATATACCTGGAAAAACTGAATAGCATTACTACATATTGATAGAAGTAAATAAGAACACAGGTTAATAGTAGGCAGCATTTAATGAAAAAAATGACCTAAAACAGCTGGTGGCATCTACATCAAACATAAAATCAACCCGCTTGATGAATTATATGCCATTATAGGTTGAGATCACAACAAAAAGAAACATTTTAAAATAATAGAATTACAAAAGAATGATATTCTTCAACTTATAGTGGAAATCTTAATGTTCTTCCATAAGAAATAATTAGCATCAACTATCAAAACCTTTAAACATATGAATAATGTTTTGTGATCTTAAGATTGTATGTTTTAAAATAATGACTTTGTGGGTGGTTAGCTTTCAACTATAGCTTTATTTTTTTAGGCTTCAAATATATATTCAAATATTCTATTATTATGAATGCATTAAGCTATTTTTCTTTGCAGTCAATTGTTTCTCGTGACAATGACTACGATCAAAATGGAAGGAAACCCTTTGATTTACAATATGCTTAATTCAGCACTTGCCAAAAAAAATACTCTGTTGGCCTTAAGAAAGTGTAAATGCTTTCGCCTCATTTTATCATTTGCAACCTCCTTCAAGAAATTTAATTAAGCAGGGCTCCATACTTCATCAGTAATGCAAATACAATCCCTGCTGCGGCAAGCTTCAGCAATGGCTTCAAGTTCTCCCGTGGTGAAAACTTTCCCAGTTGGATTATGCGGGCTGCAACATTATAAAATTAGCCGTTTAAAAGAATAAAAAGTATCCATTGATGAAATTTATATGTATATTATTGCACAGTACCTTGTTAAACCTTTAGATGACTGATCCTATCAAGGATCTCTAAGAATTTACAAATAACAGCTACTGCTTACCTTCAATGTTTGATCTGACCATGATGATCAAGTTGATGAGTTGATGAGAAATTATTTCCATGGAGTCATTTAGAAAGTTATTAAAAGGTTCTTTAGTAATTCTATTTTCTTACTTTTAAGTCATTAATTAATGATATGAGGTTCTATAAAAGGGCCTTTTCACTGTGGTGTTCCTTTCCAGATGGAGGTGATGTGTTTTAATCTTTAGAAAAACACATATTTATGGTTTTAAATCAACCAATTTAGAAATCAAGGAGAAGGGGCCTCTTGTGAGTTTCCTTTCCTTGCGTAGTAATCCCATTATAAATACGCCTCATAAAAGAGGCAACCTCCACCAAATACATTAGTTGATATAATGGAATAATTTCCTGATCATATACCTATCAGTACATATCATCATTAGAACTTTAGGCACCTCCACAGCCTCCTCAACCCCATTAAAAATGTTCTTAGGATAGGTCCCAATACCATCATCCTGAAATAAGCAAATAATCTTAGAAACTACATGAACCCTTTAGACCTTTGGAATCTTAGGAACCATAGTCTTAGAGCCAGAAAGATAATAGAAGCCATAAGCAATTTTAAAATCCTATTAAAAATTATTATTCTAGTGACACTCATGATGGTAATTGGTAACCACTATAAGCATCATGAAAGAGATTATGAAGTTCATCAGATCAAAGTCATCATAAATATGAAGCGCTTAAAAAAAGTTAAGATTATGACACTATCTATGATGGTACAGTGATCCAAAATTTTCTTGATTGTGTGTCTAAATCTAAGGACTACTTGAATTGTTTTGAAAGAAAAAATCATATATGTGATCTTTAAAAAGAAGAATAAATGATAGAATTTTGTTTTGTGAATAATGTTCATCTAAGAATGAAGTGAGACTCTTAAAACGTCAGACCATAGAAGATGCAAATCACAAAATATTAGAGATGAATTAATAACTTTCTTCTTCTTGGATTTTGTAGAAAATCATATGATTTTCAATAATAAAATTAGTAAATTAGAGCTTTGTTGGAATGTGTGTGTGTGTGTGTGTGTGTATATATATATATATATATATATATATAATCAGAAAATTATATTCATCGGGCATGAATCTTGAGGAAAATTTTAGCTTGGAAACTTCTGAAATTAAATCTAGGACCATCCGATCTGATTTCAGCAAATTTATTGTCGAACTGAACATCTCGAAAAGAAGAACTCAAAGATACCAAATTCGATCCAACATGAGCCCAAATGGATCCAAATCGAGGACCCAAAGCATATTTGGAAGGTTCAAACCATAAATTGGATGACCAAATGATATCCAAATGTGACATGCTTATAGTTGAATCGAGCGGCTCGACGAGATGAATTTAACGAGGCCAATATCGATGAATTTTGACATCATTAAGGCACTCAAATACTATATAAACGATTCATAATCGAGGGAATCGATATCAGCCATCCATTTGAACCACTCCCAGCGTGCCATTGATCTTCTCCCTATTTATTGGTCATGTCACTCTCAAAAAACTATAGATAGACCCCTCATTCTTCATTGAGAGGAAAGGAAGAAGAAAGGGAAAGAAGAGTTGTAAGATCTCTCTTGCCACCAAGCTCCTCCTTGACCACTGCTCGGCCATTGACCGTCATCAAACTTTCGCCAATCTTCCGCCTGGCCATCAACTGTCGTCTGACTTTCACCCGACCACCAATTATTGCTGAACAACAATCTTGCCGATCTTCGTCGCCTACCGACTATAGTCCTTATAACCACCGTCGCCCAACTACGGCCTTTCCGTCCTCCGTCGTCTGCCAATTATGGTTCTTTTTACCACCATCTCCAGACAATGATCTTTCTGACCTCCAATGCCCGACTACGTTCCTTCCGACCACTATCGCCGGACTACGATCCTTTCAACCTAGTGACCTACATGGCTCGCCAACTATAATCCCGCCAACCAAACGAGCAAGTCAATACTTTTTCTTCCAACTCTCACCATGTAATGCACTATATATGATGTATATTTACTTCATCGAGCCAAGGCCTTCCCCAAAAGGAAGGGCCTCGATTGTAATCAACTGCAAACCCAAGTGTATTCACTTAAAATAGGAAAGGCCCCGTGATTTTTCCCTCTTTTCAGGGGTTTTCATGTAAGAACTCTGGTGCTCTTATGAATGCTACACCCCTATCTTTCATCTGTTTGTGTGCTGGATCTTCGTACAAAGCTGGGACGCTAAAATTTATGTTTTTCTTCCGCCGCAAATATTCTAGGACGCAACATATATATAATGGTAGTTTTCTAATCACAGTAGTTTGCATATGAAATTTGATTCAAACATCATTAGGTTACAATACCAAACCATGCTATTAGACAGAGGCAAAGCTAATATTATTAAGTAATAACAGCTTAAATTTTAGCGAATACCAAAAACGATCCTTAATCTTGGCTCAGCTACCCAAAATATGTAAAAGTTTGTTGTGGTTATAATTTCAAAGTGATTAAAACAAACTTGTTAAAATTAAAAAATACTAACCTGTTAAGAACCACAGCTTTTGTCCGACTTGTGAAGGATTTTTTAAATTTTTCTACGTCAAAAGTCCAATAAGGTGGATCCAATGGCACATAGACCTGAAAAATTCAATCGAGGAAATAAGAGGGTTAAACTGTCTCCAACAATAAACATACTTGGAAAATATATAATTTACAAAAGAGTTCATCAATCCACATGGACAGCATGTTATATAATTCTATGTTTGCAGCTATCAAAAATGGTTTCATCAATAATCTTGTCAATTATGTGACTGACATCATGACTAAAGGCTATATCTGGGTATGCAAATGGAATCCAGATATTATACTGGAGTAAATCCAAGGTAAAATTGATGTTCAACTTACAGGTATTCCTCCAGCCAAAGAAATGCATGGCCCATATGTTTCATAAGCAGGATCAAACAAAAGAACTTCATCCCCATGGTCGATCACTGTCAAGTAATTTTCAGATGCCATAAATAGCCATAAAATCTGATCTTACTTCTTATTAAATCTAAGACATCAATCTTCAATACAATGCCCTGTAACTCGTGTCTAATGCATTTGCCAATCCAGGTCAAATTTCGCCCTCATTCAACATAAATTTTTTACACTATAAAGACAGGGCAGGAGCAGGGTAGATTGATCACCAAAGAAAATATGCGAAAGTTTACCAGCAAATATAGATGCAGCAAATGCTTCGGTCTGGCCGCAGCTGATCACAACATCAGTGAGTGGATTTATATGAAGGCCATGATCTCGTTTCATTTTTTCTTCCAGTAATTCACAAATGCCTTGCACATGCCTTTACTCCAGAGCAAGAAAGTTTAGAAGGGTACCGAGAACGCTAAGCTTTAAAACTGAATCCAAATGTATCATTCAATAAAATCAAGGTTAAGATTCAATACCGTAAAAGAGTGCCATTAAATACATCTACTCCAAGATATTATTGTAATGCATTCTGTTAGCACCCTAGCTTTTTTTTTTAAGAATGCAACAGCAATATTATTAAGAAAAGAAACTATTAAAAACTACTAATAGAATCACATTCCTCCTTTAACAAAAGAAAGAAAGAAGAAGGAATACTATCCAAACTAAAATCATCCCAAACAAAGTCATAACTAAGAGCTATGTTAACACATAGATCAGCTAACTTATTACAACTCCTATCCACACAAATAAAAAAAACATAATTAAAATCTTTAAGAACAATAGAATCCTCCATTTGTATTCAATAACTCCACCATACGAATCTTTAGAACAACCTTGAAGAAACTTGATTACATTAACATTATCACCTTCCACTATGATCCCTTTATAATCCAACATCCACTTCTGCAAGAATCGGCTCAAGGACTGGACTGCTAGCAACTCCAATCAGTAAACGTCCTGGACTGCTAGCAACTCCAATCGGTAAACGTTCCAATGCACCCCACTGAAACCGAATGCAAATAAGAACCTTCCTTTGTAATCTCTCAAAACACCTCCAACACTAGCTTTGTAAGTGAAAGCAAACAAACATCAATGTTCACTTTGATCCAATCAGGAGGAGGATGATGCCAAGAACTCTTCAACAGCCGGTTAGGCTGATTGACCCCCAGAAGCCCGAATTTAAAACACCACAACCTGCCGAACTAACTATAGAAGCAATACTAACCGTGTTCGAAGAAATGACAAAATTGATATCTTCATTACCAACATATACTCCTTTGCTTCTCGACTTACATGACAAAAATACCATAGTACAATAGATTCTACATGAAACAAGTTGTTTGGAAGCATTTCGTTCCAGCCATTCACTGCATTCAATCAGGGAATGAAAAACTGGAATGGAAAAACCACACTTATTCAAAATATGTATTACCTGCACCAATTTCGAACACCCCACCACCACATGTTCATCATCTTCAATCTCCAAACAGCCTCTAGGACAAGCATTGTTATCTTTCAATCTCCTATGCATCAGAAATTGAAAAGTAGGGATGGCATTATGGAATATCCTCCACCAGAAAGATTCCACATGTGGATTCAGTTTGAGTTTTTTTATCCAACTCCTTGGTACACAGGGGATTGACACACCAAAACTTCAAAAGCAAGAGCAGAAATAGTTTTACCCGAACTTTGATGAATCAACTCCACTTGATCTTCAGACAATTTAGAATAAATATTAGTATTGCGGATCAGCAAGTTCAAGTCTTCACCAAAACAATTTTGAATCTCCTCTAAATTCCATACCCCATTCAAAATGAACTTATCCAACATCCAGACAGAGTCCACATGAATCGAAACAAATGTAGGCCAATTAAGAAGGCTCTTATCTAATACCCAAACATCATTGAGAACATCAATGGACCTACCATCCGCTACCTTCAGTCTGATTATAGGATTAAGAGCATTTGCACCATCTGCAACAATCTTCCCTGCAGCAGACGAACCTTTCTTTGAACCAGAGTGAGCATTCCTTAACCCATACCTTATAGAGAACATCTTATGGAACAAGGATTCCATCTCAGTAGTAAATTCCATGCTAGTTTTGCTCTAAGTGGACCCACTTTCTTCATACAAGAATGAAGTCCACGTTCCCCCAAATTTACCGGATTGCACAAGACATCCCAACTAACATAGTGAATACCATTCTTCACATCCTATTTATGCCATATAAAGTTTCTACACAACTTGTAAATCTCCAAAAGAATACTCTTACAAATAAGAGAATGAGTGCATTGGAAAATAGGAAGCGATAATATGACTGATTTAAGAAGAATAAATTTTTCCGGCAAGGAAATAAATTTATTCCCCCAAGCATTAAGTTTCCCCAATGTTTTCTCTAAGATAAATTGAAAATCAGCACGAGCAAGTCTTCTCAGAGCAATTTTCACACCCAAATAGACCATCTCTTTAACCGTTCTAAGACACATTAGGCGGACTATAGTTTTTCTCTTCCTCTTCTTGACAGCTTTGCCAAATAGAACTACAGATATCTGATAATTAATACACTGTCAGTCCAGTTACAAAAGTCCATAAGAGTCTTTCTAACCTCCTTCACCATCTTTATACTAGCATTAGAAAAGATAACAATATCATCTGCATATAGCAAATGAGAAATTCTAGGATTATCTGGATGAAGATTGATATCAACCATATTACCCTTCTAAATAAAAGCAGTAGATAGTAGCTGAGAGCATGAAATGAACAAAAATGGGGATAGTGGGCAACCTTGCCTAAACCCACTTTTGGCCTCAATCCACTTGGAATACTTTCCATTAATCAACAACAACTTTCCATTAATCAACACAGAAAATTTAGCATTCTCCACACATTCCAAAATCAGTTTGGAGATCTTCAAGGGAAACCCGAAATACCTCAAGACTTGCTTAAGAGTGGACCACCCCATACTATTATTCGCTTGCTCCATATCGATCTTAAAAGAAACCAAGCCTTTTGTTGCTTTAAAAAATCTGAATTTATGGAAAACATCTTGAGTCAGCAAAACATGCTCTGAGATAGACCGCCCCTTCAAAAATGTAGCTTGTTCTTTAGAGATGAGCTTTGGAATCATACCATACATTATATTCAACAGAACTTTAGCCACCAACTTATAAATTGACTTACACAAGCTAATAGGCCTGAAATTAGCGGGTACCATTGGATTTTCAGCTTTTGGAATAAGCACCACAACCGTTTTCTTCCAATTCACATCCATAGCACCCGTAGAAAACACATGATATAATGCCTTCCAAATATCCTTTTTAATAATGGGCCAATAACTCTTAATGAAAGAGTATGAGATACCATCAATATCAGGGGATTTATGTCCCCTAAGTTCACTTACCACTCCCATAACTTCCTCCACTGAAAGCTAAGCCTCAAGCACAGCCATGTCTTCATCATCCAGCACCATCAATGGGGAAGGTCAACCATCCAACAAGCAATCACTATGACGCCATTTATTTCTGAAAAAAAAAAATGAAAAAGTTTTCTTCTATTTGGTTCTGATCTTCAACAAGAAGCCTACTGTCATCCTTAATCGTAGAAATCCAATTAGAGTTCCTTCTAGCATTTGCATATGACTGAAAAAATCTGGAGTTATTATCTCCATTTGTCAACCAATTAACTTTAGCTCGCTGCCACCACCATGAGTTCAACAAAGCCAAGGTACTATTAAGCTCATTTACCTTAGATCTGAGCAGCATCACCTTATCTTCCGAGAGGCCCCCTTCCATAGATTCCTCCATTTGTAATTCCATAATCTCCCTTTTGAGACAATCCTTCAACCTATTAAGATCTTTTAGTTTAGCTTTACTCCAAAAAAATAGGAATTTCAATGTTCTTTTAAACTTTGTATTAAGAATTTCTGAATAGCTCCCAAAAGCTTCCCTATTCTAGGCTTTTGAAACAATCCCAACCGAAGCATGATAAGATGCCCATATATCTTCAAAACTAATAATTTTCTTGGTCTTAGGAATTTGATCCAGCAGATTAATCATAATAGGACAATGATCTGAAGCTATCCTCGTAAGATGACGCACCACCATCAATTGAGAAGAACCAATTGTCGAAGATTTGAGAAAACGCATATCCAATCTTTCCAAGATACGAGCTCCACCAACCTGGTTATTGCACCAAGTGAATGTAGGACTAACAAATCCGACTTCATGAAAGTCATTATTAGTTATAAAGGTCTTCATCTCCTTGGAACCTTGAGAAAATACAAAACTCTTTCCCCCCTCTTTATCACCTTTAGCCAATATTTAGAAAAATCCCCACCCATTACCGAAGAAATGTCTTTGGAAGAATACTCTTCGATATCCCTCAAAAGCTCCCTTCTTTTTTGAACATCCTAGCTCCCATAAACAGTAGAAATCCTCCAATTTCCTTTATTATGAATATTAAGATCACCAATAATACACTAAGAAGATTTCAGAATAGTAAAAGAAGCCAAATTGGACTTCCAAAGAACCAAAAATGCCTCCTGAAAAATCATCCGAAGGAAAATAACAAAAGTCCCAATCCAAGCCAATAAGCAAATTAACTCCCTTCCTATCAATGGAAGTTAATTTAGTCTCCAACAATCCCACAAAAACTACCTCATACTCTTTCACAAACTCCTTAAGATATAGAGAAGCTTTATTCTTCCTAGCTCTTCTACAATTCAAAAAAGCAACCGCCATATTAAAGAATAAGAGGGGAATCATGCCCCCATTTTTCTTTATTTCCCAATTCATTTTTCCTACTTCTAGTTATCAACTTAATAGGACCTAGTCCTTTAAGCTCTTTAGCAAGCTTCCACTTAACAGAAGCAGAATCACCCTCGCCGCCACCAACATCTTCCCTACTCGATTTGTTAGAATCTTCCTCCACAACTTTAGAAGATCCTGTAACCTGCATCCCAACTTCAGCAGAGTTCTACAACCTTCACCCATTTGCTCTGAAGGCTCCACAACCTTCTCAGACACCCGATACCCCCCCCCCCCCAATTGCTCTGAAGCCTCAACTTCACCCAACCCAGAAAGCAAATCAAACTTACTGACAATTTGAGTATGATCGGATGACTTTAAATCAGCAGACTTTATTGTTAGCACCCTAGCTTAGTCGTCAACTCTTCGGACAGAAACTAAAAGAGGATGAGTCAAAAAAAGTGGGAAAGGAGTGATTAACCTATACTGATTGAAATCGGAGTTGATGGCAGAGACGGCGGCAGCCTTGAAATCTGGCGGCGCGGGGAAGTCGGGGAAACCCTCGGCCAGGTTAATGGCGCCGATTCTTTGGGCGAGCTGCGAAAGCTCTTGGATTGGAGACGACTTTAGCATACGAGCGACCCTTGAGAGTTTTGCATACATTATCTCTACGCTCGATCCCTTCTGCAGATGAACACAGCGTTCAGAATTTTATAAATTTTTAATGGGTTAGGTAATCTGATGTAGCTTTATATTTGGTGGACCCTAAACAGGCGCCATGTAGCTTGGCCATTTCCGCGGACCTGGCCCGACTAATACTGGGTTTATGGCCCGTGCGAATTTTGAATTTGACGCCCCGATCAGCGGACTCGAAAATTATGATTATTTTTCAAATCAAGAGCAGTGGCTTTCACTTTAGTCATCATTTTCATAGACGAAGTTTTGTTTCCGGCAACTGTTCATCTTCTTCCAAGTTCCAAGCAAGTTCCAAGTTCGAAGCATTTGCGTTTGAATAACTTCAGAGAAACAATGCCTCAGATGAGTTCGTTTATTTCTGAAACAAATAAATTTTCTCTTTTTACATGTTTAGGGTTAGGGTTTACGTAGAAAATGCTTCTGTAGCTGATGAACTTTCAATCTTTCATGAAAAAATAATCTGAGTTTCGTGGTCAGTACAAGTCGGTACTACTTGGTACAGATTGGTATTGCACAAAGCCGATTGGTTCCACTCGGTACAGCTCGGTACTGCTTGGTTTTGGCAGTTAATATCACTCGGTACTACTCGGTATTGGCGGTTAATACTCGATATAACCTTAGATAAAAAAATAAAAATATATTATTGATTCAGTACCGAGTGAAATCATTTCAAAATGTTTGATGTGAATCGGTATAAGCTCACTTATATTGTTCGGTACTACTCGGTATTTAGAACCATTACTCCGTATAAGCTCAGGTATGTTGATCGGTATAGCTCGGTATTGCTCGGTACTGCTTGGTATTGACAAAAATTACTCGGTATAAGCTCACTTATATCGTACAAATCATGTTCTATACTCGGTACCGATTGTCTTATTACATCTTTTATGCTCGGTACCGATTGTCTTTTATATGTATTATTTAATACTCGATATTGATTGTCTTTTATACTCGGTATCCGATTTGGAAATTGTTTTTTAATTAGTTGATGTGCAGGGATATACTCCAAAGATTCATTTCAGATGCCAAACTTCGACTTTTAGAGAAGTTTGTAATCAACTTGTTCGGAAATTTGGAGATCCATTTGTTGAAAAACTGTGACAACTTCAAATTAGTCAGTTCCTGAAAGTTCATTCGATCCCTCAAACTTCCGTATACCAACATCAATCCTGGAAGTTACCGAAAATGTTGATAGGTTCAACACATACAACTGGTCAGAATCTATTAGGGGTTTCCTGGTTAATGAATTTAATACAGTTGCAAGTAAACTGTCAAGAGGATACGCACTAGGATATGTCAATAGTTTTGTCATGATTGTAATTGTGAGTATATACATTTATTTTTTTGTTCAACCATTACTCTGAGATACATTTAGTTTTGTCATGATTGTATATGTTAAATTTGAAATTCTAATAGAAATCTGAGTTGTCTTATTTTTTTGCAGATATAGTTTCTTGAACATACAATCATTCACGCTGTAGAGGATGAACTATCCCGCCCACGTTTTACTCGGTGGGACGGTAATTTTATGTATAGTGAGAAAGACGTGAACAATATTTTTGCAAACCTTCATGATGATGAGGTAGTAGAATTACGGGTTTTCATTTAAAAATATGATAAAATTTTATATTTCATTTGACAATATATCATTTTATTTCAAATTTGCAGCCATTTACAAGGAATAACAGATGATAAAAAAGACTTTATTTCATAGTCCTTCGAGTTATCCGGTTGGAGAAAATCTCGAAATTATACCATTTAACCCAACATCCATAAAGATTTCTTCTAAGTCGCCCACTCCAACTCCAGCCAGTCCAATAACGGTGCCAAGTCCAGAAACTCCAGCTAGTCCAATAATGGTGCCAAGTCCAGTTATGGTGCCAAGCCCTACTGGACCTGATCCATCTCCACCTAATCCACCTAGTCCCATAAGGATGCCTAGTCCAATTAGGGTGCCAAGCCCAGCTGGACTTGATCCATCTCCAGCTACTCCACCAAGTCCTAAGAAGATGCCAAGCAAATCCAAAATTCCATCAAGTTGGGCTCCTGATCCATCTCGCTTTGAACCTGATCCATCCATCCCAGCTACTGAACCAACTCCAATAATCAAAGAAACTAACTTGAAGATCCTAAATCAAGCCATATACAAACTTTTTAGGAAAAATAACATATTGAAGAAGAAACTGATCTTGGTTGAAACATCGAATAGGTTACGTGAAAGATGTGTTGGAGGTTTGGAACAAGTAGTCTTTGATCTGAGAGAGGAGAATCAACGTAGATACGGTGTTGTAGAGAAGTTCTTGCATGATACGTTTCTTGATTCTTTAAAAATATACGCGGGTGAAATTCCAAGTAAATCTACTTCTTCTACAACTATATCTGATTGACCAAAAGTCACCCCGTCTGCCCTATATGTTGCCCCAAAACCTGTGGATGAGGAATTGGATTCGTCCTTTCAAATTAGAATTGCTACAAGAGTTCGGCTGAGGAATGATAGAAAGAGGAAACCTCTATCAACACCTTTTACCACTGAAAACTGATCGGTACTGCTCGGCATTATGTCAAATATGCTCAGTACTATATCAATCATACTATTTATATTACGTTAACTATTTTATTTATGCCTTATGCCAAACAATGCCGAGCAATACCGAGTTTTTTTTCTTATTATTTTATAAATAATGTTTATTAAATTATGAAGGGGCTATACAATTTTCGAATTTGAGAATATAATTATTTATAGAAGTCAATTGGACGAGTTATTACTATTAGAAGAGCTTGATAATAATCACGTTGATGTATTTGCTCATTTATTAGCTGAGAAGAATAAACTTTGCCCCAACCTTTATCAACCTTTTATTTTTATTTCAAGTTACCATTGGGTTAGTAAACATTATTTGATTCGTGCATTTGCTAATTTTATTTATTAGTTTTAAACTTATTGTAAGTAATAACCACTTCTATTTCATCTCATCCAGGGTTATTACACGATATCAAAAGAGATGAAAACATCTAGCTTCGTTTCTCATATAAGCAGAATAGATATTATGAGTGCCAATTTGATCCTTGTATCTATAATAAACCAAAAACATTGGACACTTTTAGTTGGTAATCTGAGCAAGAAACGGTGAGAGTTTTTTAATTCATTACCGAAAGCAACACAAAGAAATACTCCCAAATGTTGTAAGTATTACATATATTTGACTTTTATTTTAGAAGTAACAATATTGTATGTTAATTTCATTTAAATTTTTCAGATATCTCATTTGTACGATGATGCAAAGAAAGCTTTTAACGATGATATAAGAAATTAGCCATCGAGACAATTAAAAACATCCCAACACAAGATAACAACGTCGACTGTGGCATGTTTATTTATAAATATATGGAAGTTGTGATCCAGCATGAACCTGTTCAATGGAAACTTCTTAAAAACTGGCAATCTAGTATGTCATTATTCAGGGTTGAATTAGCATATGCCATTTTATGTACTAACATTTAATAGATTTTTAATTAAATGGTGAAATTCATTTTTACATAATTTATGTGTTTTTATTAATTTGTTTATTGTACCGAATAGTACCGAGCAATATCGAGCAATACTGGTACTAAATGAAAAATACTAACTACTATGAAAACTGATCGGTACTACTCGGTATTATGTGAAATATGCTCTATACTATATAAATCATACTAGTTATATTATGATTACTGTTTTATTTTGTGCCTTCTACCGAACAGTACCGAGCAATACTGAGCAATACCGGTACTAAGTGAAATACACTCGGTACTATGAAAACTGATCGGTACTGCTCGGTATTATGTGAAATATGCTCGGTACTATGTTAGTACAGCTTAATACAGACCAAATACTGAGCAATGCTGACTTTTATTGACGTACACCGAGTACTAAAAATGACTAATACAGAGGAAAACCAAGTTATACCGAGTACTACTAAGATCTCAAAATTATCAACAAATTGTAAAAATTCATTTCCACTCACCTTCCCTATATTACATGAAAGATGATTTACTACATGTTTCTCAAGTTGTAAAGTTTATGCTTGTAGGCTGATCCCTCTCTATGGGTTTAACTTTTTTTATCTTCCTTTTCTCCTAGTGATCCTTCAATCTTGTATTTGATACGCCCTTTGTTTGACACTTCTTAGGATCTCTAATAGTTTTATTACCAGTCCCAGAAATCGGTTTATTTTTTCTGCCATCCTTGATAGAATGCACTTTTGCAGCCAATGTACTCATTGAATCTATCTCACACATTTCAGCCTCTATATTTCCTTGTGCTTCTGTGCTAATTTTATATGCAAATTGGCAAATATAATTTTTGAACATCAATTTGCTAGAACTCTAAATAGGATGGCACGCATTGATACCTGTACATTGGATCTTCCCTCAATAATATAAATCTTTTCGAACTGTGGCTGACCATCTTGGGAGTAAATATTTAACGGAAATATTAACAATATCTAATTATCTCATTACTCTCATACAATGAGAACATAATATACCCATCATAATTTTTGTGATTGTGACTCTCAATAGCTTTATTCACCGACCAAATCCCATCTTTACTCACTGAAAATCTAACCATGGCTGGACATCCAGTTCTTATACATGATTTTCGATATTTAATATTTGTACTCTTCTCAGTCTCCTTCTTGAATCCTGCTTTGGAACATACAAAATCCTTTGATTTTATTTTTCTTGAATTTAGCCAGAAATGATGATGCTCTTTCCTAACACTAAATCCATATGAATGCGCGTAATGGCAATATTTTTCATATGCTTCCTTTTCAGAGTGGTAAACACCCTGTGAAAAAAATATTCATACATCCAATTTAACATTATAGCTACATATCGATACCAAGCTTATACCGAGAAGGTTGAATGATCGGTACTAGGAAGTAATAAGTTGAATTTGCTCGGTACAAATGTATAATAAGTTTATACCGAGCGATACATATCAGTATCGAGCTATACCGAGCTTATACCTAG